ATTTTAATAATTCGCAAAAAATACATGATTCGTGAATTTCCAATAGATTCATGTAACTTTCTGACTTTGCCAATATCATTATCACAGTGTGAAGATGTGCACTTCAGCAACTAGCAATGTCAGGCATCGGTGAAAGGTGGGGAGGGGTGGGGGTCGGCAAGGCTCATGCTTCTGCACCCTGCCCCTCACTCCGCTCACTGCACAAAAAAAATCCTGGAAACAGACTCCAAGCATGATCATCAATATTGTTCTCTTGCGCATGAAATGACCGCAATAAATTTTCATCTGCCACAGCAATAAGAATCCTCAGAGCAAAGTCTCCCTTATCGTTCGATGTGCTCGGTATTCTTCGTGATTCTGTTTCCTCCGTGATTTTTTATGAATCGCTCGAAATGCGGTGATGAAAACTGTAACAGTCATCATTAATCTCCATTTCAGTAATTAAGTNAGTTTCTTGAGCCATTCTTCTATGAATTCAAACTAATCTTCGAATATTATCGCAGAACATATCGCTGTTCCAAGCGATGAATTCAATAACTACCACCACTGTCATGAGAATCGGTAGGGTTGCCGGATTACTTAATACGATGACTTTCTGGAACAATTCATGGTATTGATCAGTGATTTGAATTTCAGAACCATCGTCAAGAACACCATCCCATCCATCAGCAATACAACACCGTTACTCTCGTTATCGTAAGGCTGACATAACACCATAGTCAGCTTCTTCATAATACTGGAACTATCAACATAATTGCTGATTGTCATCAAATTGGTTGATTTGTTTGGTAAGTATTGCTGAGCATTTGCAATTTTCAACAGAATACTCACTCATTGATCTGTTTCCACCAACAATATTCATCCAGTCCCGATTGCAAACTGAATACTTAGACTACTTTGGAGAGACTCGATGAAGGAGGATTATTCAATTGCTCCCTTCTTAGCTCTGCTGATTATCCCATTCTCACTACGTTTTTCAGGTGCTTTCTTAATTTCGGTTTAATTAAGCTTGTTAAGTGGTCACTTTTCAGTGTTTTCTTGATCCAATAATGTACCATCATCACATCAATTTTGTATTCTTCAATATGATAGTTTCAGCCGTAATTTCACGAATTCCACCCAACCACAACAACATCTCCAGTGGTTTGTATTAATATCTGTGCCAGTTACACTAAGTGGATTCGTTGAAGATATTTTTTGCTCCGTTATCAACTGGATTGGATTAACTGAAGTTATCATCCAGTAAGTGTTTAATTCAATTTTCATTTCCGCATTGTTAACGTACTCATTTCGTTCATCCATTTTGTATGTTCTAAACAGTGGCGATGAAGAAACAGTACTTCTATATTTTCGCGAAGTCACTGTGATCACCCGCATTATTAATTCCTGTCGACACTGGCATATTTCCTGCCTCAGGCTGAATCACTGCTGTGTGCTTCAGCTCGTTGCTGTCTCAATTATTAGAATGTTTATGATAGTGCTGACCTTTATCATAGCGTGAATTTTAGGTTTTTGTTACCACATCGTCGAATTAAATTATCCTCGTCACCATCAGAGGACATAATCGTTAAGGAGCGCTGTTGTGATCGACCGCATTTTCTGAATCGGCGATCATCTGAAGTGAAATCGTTAATTTTCTGCAGACAATCTCAGTTTTTTGACTGTGGGTTTCTGTTCATAATTCTTCCGACATTTTGTTCCATTAAGCTCCAAAATTACAGTTTTCGTACTCAATCCGCTGAATTTCAGGTTTCATTGAATATTGTAATCAACAAAATAATATTATTATCGAATCGCTAGTGTTAACAAAGCGAAATTTTTAATTAATTGCTGCCAAATCGGTGAAAATTTTTCACTGAATTGTCAATAAATTAAGTAAGTTTCTTCGTTTTTTTTTCAATTAAGAATGACATTAGGAGCAAAAAATTAGCTTTGCTCACTCTAACTACCAAGAAATTCTGTTGATTTCTAACTACCAAGAAATTCTGTTGATTTCGTTTCGAAGCTGATCTCGATTGATGTCATGATAAGTTGTTCGATGCAACACAGCTATGAACTTAGTTAATACTTTTAATTTCAGAGCCTACGACACCAAGTCGTCGAAGTATTCAATAATTTTTATTGAATACTTAAAACAACAACACCAAGAACAACACCACCAACAGCAAAAAGAAAAAAATAAAATAATAATATAATATTATCAATTAAATTTATTGAATCGATTTATTGAGGGAAAGTCTTTGAATTAAATGTATGTTTTGAATTCTACTCGTTCTACTTTTTCTGCTTATTTCATTATCTTTTATAATTCCTTCTTCAACTTCATTACTTTCATTCCATTGATATGATGTAATGTTCCAAAGTTGAGGTGTCTCATCCTAAATTATATTCTTGCATTCATTTCTCACAATCCATATATGTTCTCACTGATATGTCATAGTCTCCAGTTCATTGCGCCGACTTGCGAAAATATCTCATTTGTCCAAGTAATTATGAACAATGCTCGATCTGAACTAAGATTTTTCGATGCGCGTCATTTCATCATCCCTTTACCTTTGTCTCATTGAAAATTTCATGCGCTGATTATTACAGCTTTCATGTTGACAGGAAAATACGAATGATTTTGTATCACTGATCTTATTTTATGGCTATTGATCCTCGTTTATATAACTGTATTGCGATTTGGTCATTTGGTAAATTTACTATGGAATGTTTTCGATACAGAAAGTTGCATGATCCTTTGGTGCGTGATTCGAGCATTACATTTGGAGTATATTCAATAAATTATATTTTCTCGTTCAAATTTAACTCATTCATCACAAAACCGCGCTGGAAATTCGAACTCTTGCAACTTTCATTTGATATTTGATATGATCATTTGACTTGTGCATGCGAGCGATTTGAATAAATTGCATTGCTTAAATATTTGCGATTTGTGATTGCATTTGTAAATCATTGGACATCGTGAAGACGACATTATGAATAATATGAAAAATTGCGATGATGAATTCGATTTATTGACAAAAGATCCGCGCAGCATTGAGAAATCACGTTGAAAATTCTCAGCTAAGAGCAGCCTCTCAGTAAACAGTTTGATATGAAGATATCCTTGGTTACGTTAGTGTTAACATCGGTCAGGTCCACAGAAACAGTTCCAGTCGAAGTCTAAAAACTTATATAGTTGAATATATTTATCGTTGACATAAATTTCAAAGATTTTCTAGGACCAAAACAATGAAGCAAGACTTTTCCATTCAACTTTTACATCATCATCTTGGAATTGCTATCCTTTGTAAGATAGATTTTAAATTGGATAAAAAGTATTCACATATTTCGTTGACATTTATGCCATTGCAAACAGCTGACTTCTGTTAATATGCGAGCGATTTCATTTAATGAATTGCTTGATTAGTGAAATTTTCCAAGCGAACTGTAAAGAAATGATATTTCAAAACTGTTGTGGGATTGAGGTGATGGAGATTCGTATAAACTTCTCGCAAAATTTGCAAATATCTGCAAGCATTCTCCTTACTCTGAACTATTGACATTGAATTTGAAACGCTGATGATACTTTTGATGCTGTGCTTGATTAAACCAACAAAAACAATAGGTAACTTGAACATTTAAAAAATTCACCTTTTCAATAGTTTGGTGATCTAAATGATATCAATGCTAAGATAATCTATTAAACTCGAACTTTGAAACATTTTTGCTTGATTTCACACGCTTACAATTAGATATTATTGTGCAGTGTTTCCACGCAGCATACCAATTGTTTCTAAAAATCTGAAGCGATGAAAGCAACTTCATATGCTTGTGTGTTGACTAAGGCTTCATTGCTTCGTTCACACCAGCAATTCTGATGCAATTTGGGTTTCTGCAGTTTTAGCACTGTGGCCTAATGCTTACGTGTTATCATCAGCGAAAAGTGCGGTCAATTTTCGAGACAGAAATGATTCAAAATGATGGTATCGCGCTGAAAAATTAGTCTTGAATTTGCATTCGAACAGTAACAAATAATTCTCAATCTCGAGTGAAATCCTTCGATGTGCATTTGCAATTTTCCATTTCTATATTACAAAAACTGAAGATTTTGTGTGTAATTCATCTATTTCTCTCGCAATAACTAGATCGCATCGGTGCTCCTTGTTTAATGAACCAATTTCTCGGTCATTAATAAGCGAGCACTGTACATTGTTTTAAGCTGTCGCTGTATGAATTCATGCTTCTGACCAAATTTCGCAAATGCCTCGGGCAATTGCTGCAAAAATTCTGCGTTTCAACCAACCGTTTTAGGCTGAATCACAACGATACCGTATTATTTTGAGATGAACAACGGAATTGAAGTTTGAATCGATTACGCTCGATTTTATTACGATTGAACTGATGCGCTTTTCGAAATCAATAAGATAATATTTATCTGTTGTTGCAAATTTGCACATCTGGGTACGATTGAGTTGCGCTGAACTATTGATCTCGATTCAGAAACAACCTTTTGACTTCTTCGGAACTGTCATGATTGAGACATTGATGTCATGATTAAGGTACTCTGGACTGATGAGCGATTAGTTATTCGAACCGTGTCTTTGATTGCGTTTCGATTTCGTTGCGATTAGCGCAAAATTCTTCCGTTTGTAATCCGAATGCATGCTAAATATGTTCGGATTTCACTGCAACCTGTAAATTGTTACAAAATTAATGTATGAAACGGCTGAATCAATCATTTCAATGATCGCAAAGAAAGTGACTTCTTATGCTTATGCTTATGCTTTTGCACTCATGATGACTTGATGTGTTCTTGTATCCATTGATGTGTCATAACGATTACCGTCTTAATTTGAGAAAGTATTCCATCCAGTGAATGAAGCATATAAGAACTTGAATTGTTACGAAGTTTTGAACAATTTCATCCAATTACATCATTTAACTGACCGTAAATTTTCCGTTTAATTCATAGTGTCATTTTTAGAAGAAAAAAGAAAAAAAAANAAAAAAAAAGAATGAGCGGAAGAAGAGAGCGCGGAGGATCAGCGGCGAGGGAGGAGGTACCACGTCCCGCAGGGGACAACCTGATCGCGGCCGGGGCACAGTGGTTGCCGTGCCTGACCCTGTTACAGGTACTGGCAACCATAATTAGGCTCCCGGACCGCGAACGCGTGGCCGGGTATATCCGGAAGAGCTGGCTGTATCTGGCCAGGTTTGACGTCAGACGATTTGGACCTCAGCATTACGGTGAGTTATCGCATTTTCCATTCGAAATAATCAGTTTTAGCATCGTTATCATTGATCCGTTAGCAAAAAAGTCGTCGATTACAGGGACAAATAGTGAAAGGAGAGAGTTCCTTTTACTAATTGTCCTTGTCATGTCCTTTCCTTGCAATCGACGACCTTTAGGTACTCCCCTTGTAGATAATCTCCTTTAGATACTCTTTTAATGATCTGTCCTTCAGAAATGCCAAATGGAGATTTTGGATTGTCTAGAGTGATGCCATATAGTTTAATACAAATTCCAGCTGAAGAACAAGTACTAGGTAGTGTCTAGTATAATGTCAAGCAAAATCAACTGATATTATTTGTACGAAAACGCAATAATCGTGTTTGCAGTCGACCTGGTCGAGGTGGGTCTAAGCAGCCCCCTCACGATACACGCCATCTGCCGGATGAGCAACATCCAGTTGATGGTCCACCAAGGCGGCTTCGGTGGGCCATCCCACGTCTTCGGCGTATCCGGTCCAATCTACCAGGCTATCAAAAAGGCGACCGGATACGTCGCGATGATATGCCCTGGCGCCGAAACAGTAAGTACACATGAATTTCTGAAATTTCGACGCTTGTTTAAGTTCAAAGCTGATTTTCCCATCGTAATTACTGCCATTGATTATATATCCGGAATGAACATTTCAGTGGAAAACGAAATCCTCAAAAAAATTTGACATTTTGTTAGAAATGAACTATCATGCGATTGATTGTTAATGGTAGGCATAGATCGTAAGAGTTTGATATCTTATTATGAGAACATGAAGAATGAAAATGTCTATCACTTGACGACATCTAGTTTTAGCTATTCAACTTAACTTTAATTATGACAAGTTTGTTGAAATAATATATGGAAGTAATTGCGATTATGAAATACAGTTTCGTAGTTTTATCTTTTCTTGAGAATATTTCACCCTTGTTTTTTTGGTAAATTGATCTTTCAGAACCGAAATCGAATGAGAGTCTTCTTGAAATGATCTCATGAAATTGTCCCAAGCCTTCCTTAGTTCGAACTTCAAAAAATGAATATTTGTATGACCACTGTTTTGGCCATTTTCAGTTCATATAGGCATTTCGAACGTATAACCGTGCGATTTTCAGTTCACTGACGCAGACATGGAAGAATTTCAACCCTTCTCGGCGCCAGTGGCCGCCTCATCCGGCCCGGTTACCCGGCCAACGCGAACGCCGCAGCTGTACGTAACATCCCCCACCCCCAGCCCCCAACCCCAACCCCCCCGTCTAACGATTAACACTAACTCACTGTAAGTTTTTAATCGTATTCGTTCGAACAAATCTAATCATTTGGAATATCTTCTTCTTTTTAATATGAAACATAAAGATAGGTTTGGGAAAAAATGGGTGTCCGATGTTCAACAGAATCAACGCTGCGATTTCTCCTTCTTTAGAGAAGAAGAAGACTCCTGGATGAATAACACTGAAAAATTTTTCAGAAGAATACCCCATGAGGAAAGGCAGCCCGCCACGAAATCCCAGCCCCACTTCCGGCTGCAGGACATCTCAACCCTGCAGCCGGATCATGCAGCCGAGCTGGCGGCACCAGCAACACAACCATACAAGGTGTGCTCGAACAACCTAGTTTGTAAGTTTTATTTTGACTAATTTCATCTTTTTTTTACTCATTATAATTATTCCTTGACAAATATTCCACAGTCGACAAAAACATCTGCCAGAAGAGCTGAACATTACGCTTGTTTCGACAATCGTATCGAATGGTTTAAATGATCCATCGAATCGCCTATCAATTTATAACTTCATGTCTTTGACCACTGAAATAGAACGGATAAATGAGGAAGTCATGAAATTATGCATCTATTAGCGATAAGTTGGCCATTTGATGAAATATTATCGAATTGTCACGATCGAATGGCTATTTCTAGTTAATCTAAAACAGTTGATTAAATCATAGATATTGAAGTAGTTCTGCTAATTGTTATTGTATTTCAGACTGCCGCCTGCCCGGCTGCACCAGGCCGACGACGGGTTTCAAAACCGTCTCGGCCTGGAAGCTCCACGTGCGCAGGGCTTCCTGTCACAATAATGAAAGTAAGTTCCAGTTTAATTCACCTCTTTTCGTTTGTTTTTTTTTAATTTGCTGAACGCTTTGTCTAATTGATGCTTCAGAGACTGACTTCGTAACAGAAAATTAGTGAACATAAGGAACTTTTGGGCTTTTTTGGAATCGAGTTCAGTTGTATCGAAAGCTTTTTTCGAGATCTTAGTATCACCAAAATTCTCTTCTATTTATATATTGAAATTGAATCAATTAATGCATTCATAGGATAATTTCTCCAATGCGCAATTTCACGCGAATCTAATTTCAGCCCTGTGCACGTGGTGCGGATACCGCGTGCTCGTCCCGGCGCACCTTTCCGCCGACGCAGTACAAACACACATGGATGCCCATCGAAAGGAAAGGTGCGTCGCCGCGCCCAAAACACAACTCAGGGCGCGGCAACATACCGTCGCCTACCTCATGGAGCTGGGCCGCGACGTAAACCACATCGCGGTCCCAGCTGAGGTAACTAGGGCAACGACGCCGCGAAATGGCAAGCGGCGTCAATCCCTAGGGGCGACGGATGAGGAGGCGGGCACGTCGGGGATGGCGAAGCGCTGCAGGGGAGCGAATCCCGACCACCTTTGAAAGGTCGGGATTCGGCGGATCATCGGTTCTGGAGGACGACAGCAGGATTCGACTCGACACGTCTGCCCCACCAGCAAAAACGGTTTGCTTTTAGCAATTTGATTCTATTGCGATTATTCAATGGAGCACAGAAATGAGCACTCTGATATAGAAATTTTGAACGCGTTTCGATTCTGATTGGATCATTCTTGATCAGTTTAATTCGACTTGATTGAATGACCGTTCCTATTGATAAGTTATTAGAATTGTGCTCCTTTGAGATCACCGTTTTGCTGGTGGGGTGTTTTGTTGTGTGTTATTGTCGTTGTTATTGTCCTCCTGAACCGATGATCCCCCCTGTAGCGCTCCGTTGGCTGGGTTGTGTTAGGCTGCCTTTCCTCCTCCCCCTGATGAGAAATTCCCCTTCCCCCCTCCATCCATCGATGATATCCTTTCTAACTACTAACTAACATCCCTTCCCCATTTTCCCCGATTTTGATGAGTACAGCTGCGGCATAAGATGATAAAATTGATTAGATAAGATGAATTATGATAAGATGAGTTGTACGTTTGATTGTTCAGATAAGTGAGGCGTTGTGGTCGACTAGGTCCGGGAGTAGTGAGTGATGATAGCGATGATAAGATTAGCCAGTACTTGTATTAGGGTCATGCCGGCACCCCCTGTCCCCTCCGCGATCAGGTTGCCCCTTGCGGGATTTGGTACCTCCCCTCTCGTTGCTGATCCTCTCGCGCTTGTTGGTTGTGTTGTGTTGATGTGTTTGAAGTGAACTGAAATGAATCTTGAAATAATTGTTTTGTTAAAATGAATCATATTAGTTGATATATCCTATTGAATATTATTATTATTGAGTGTTATTGATATCGTATGAATTCAGTAAGACTGAATTCGAATTTGCTTAGAAAATATTCACTAGAAATCTATCGAGTTTCTGAAACATTTTGCATTAAATTCATTGAATTATCGAAATTTGAGAATATCAGTTTCCATAATCAGTTTGCCAGTTAGTGAATAGGCAAGCCATTTCTTCGATGTTATTGTGTGCATTTAATCATGCACGTATCTTAACTCATTTGATTGCATTGTGTTTTCGGTCATTGGTCATGAGTTTTCAAATGAGCAGTTGTTTTTCATTGATTTGTTGAAATTTCGTCGTTCCGATATCGAAGTTGAATATGGTGTTATTGCGTAATATTGTGATGTGTATTCATGCGTAATTGTGTTAATTTCAGTTGATGTGTTCATTTGGTTCTGTTTTTGTTTAATTAAGCTGATCTCATTCATTCGAACCATTTGTTCTGGTGATATTTAGTGATGTTTAGTTCTTATTTATTTGATATGAGATAGATATTTAGTGATTTCATGTGAGTTGAAGATAGCTCTGAACTAGTACAAGTTCAAGCGAATTATTTTGGGATTGAGTTCAGCTTCATTTGTCTTATTGTCAATTGGACATTGTTTCTGATTGCTTTCTTCCGTTTGCTTAATGCATTTGATGGTTAATTATTTGATTTTGATTCGTATTGTTTTTGTTTAATGCTTATTGTTTATTGTTTAGTGTTCAGTGTTCTTTCATTATTGTTTGATGTTTATTTTCTTTTTCTTCTGATTCAAAAAAAACAAAATTAAGTAAAAAAAAAAAACAAAAAATTAAAAAAAACAAAAAAATCAAAAAATATAAAAATTGAAAAAAACGAAAAAATAAAAAATAATATAAATTTAAAAAAAACAAAAAAAACAAAAAATATAAAATACAAAAAAATAATAAAATATTAAAATACAAAAAAATAATAAAATAATAAAATACAAAAAAACATTAAAATTAAAAAACAAAAAAATCAAATTGAAACAAATGGTTTCATTTTCATTACATTTTATTTGTTTGCTGTGTTATTTATTGTTTTGACATTATTTTATGTGTTTTTCATTGTTATAATATGTTATCAATTATGTTATAATTACAGAATCAGCCAATAATCAGCCATTCTCCTTATTCAGATGTAATGTTCAGTTTTTTAGATGGATGATAATTGGCTGAATCGGGTTTGGTGAGACAGAATTGTGGTCGGGGGAATGACCACTTACCAGTTCGTTTCGGTGGGCGAAAGAAGGGAAGGGAAAAGGATGGGAAAGGGTATATTGGGAAGCGTGAGTGGACGATTTTAGTGGCGATTGAAATTATAGTGGCTATATTGTGATAGCGAACGGATATCTTGAGAATTGTAGTCGGGGGAATGACCAGATTGTTCATAATTGTTCAAAAATAATTCATCAGATTGTTCAAAAATAATTCAATTTAAGTGAAATGATATGAGGAAATTAACGAATCACTTCAGATATGAAGTGATTCTTTCATTCGGATGATTCGAATTCCCCAAAGATTATTCCAGAATCAATTGAGAGGGATTCAGGAAAATCTTTGGTTATAATTTGAGAAATTGAGTTGGATACAATTTCTGAATAAGCGAAGACAATAGGGAAATAAGAGGGAAAAATATGAAGCATTGTTTTCGATCTCGAAGATGACAGTAAGAAATCGAAGTGTAAAGAAATGGAAAAGAAAAATAAGGAAGAAATCTTTTGAAAAATAAGAAATCGTTTTCGAAAAATTCAGACAAAAAGCTGACAGTCAGCTTGGAATCGAGTTTTGAAGACATTTTCCGAATTAGTGTCTTCATCTCTTTTCTAGTGAAATTCAAAATTTCGAAGTCTCCTCAGCAAGAGACTAGAAATTATTTCAGCATCTTTGCAATTTGAGAGTTCTGAAAATTGAAGATCATTTTGATCAGAAATTATTAATGAATCGATGTTTCACATCGATGAATATCGGCATTTCGTTATTCATTTCAAATAGAAGTCATCGCATCATTTATTTCCATTTTGGATGCGATTTGAATATTCTATTTGTGTGATAAATCACTATTGGAATTGGCAGATTCCAAAAACGACAGTAGCATACCGTATTTTAAGGTGAAAAGGTGAAAATTAAATTTGATTTTGCCATATTTTAGGGTGAAAATTCCTGGAAAAAGTCAGGATTCTATCCATGCCCCAGGCGGAAATTTTTTGAAATTTTCTGGATATTTTGAAAATCATCAATTGGAAACACCACTGATTTTGCAGTGGTTGAATGAATGGCATAAAGTTACAAGGATAAAAAATCGTCAATAAAACTTTGGCGATTTTCATTGTGATTCCAGTCTTCGTTTGAGACGAAAATCGCGAATTATGACTTCAAATTTTTGCGAGCAATTTGCTTGGCCGTAAGACTTGACCAGATCGTTTCGTGGCAAAGAAAACGATCTGGAAAAGTTAGATAATCAGTAGGTCACCGCAATATTTCGGAAATTCGTTAAAAAAAACAGTTGCGAAATCAATTTAAGATTCTTGAAAGATATCAGCTGTCACTGCAGGGCTAAGATAAATCTGAAACAACTGTTAATGTATGAAAAACAGTTCAGTTCAAAACAAGTGAAAAAAATTGAAAATAAGTTCACAACTTGAGAGGCGGTGGCGGGGTCGGGTGAGAAGGCCACCGTCGTACTGAAATGAGGGTAGTGGATGGGTTAGTAGCCGAGAATTCTATCAGTCAAATCGAACATCTTCCCCATGTTGAAATAAGTTATCAAAAATTTGAAAGTTTTAAAAAAATGACTGATAGAATTCGGTTTACACCTCCACTGCTCAAGAGACGGTGGCCAAATCGGGTGGGATTGCCACCGCCATTCTGAAATGAGATTTGTGGAGGGTTTGTTTGAAAATTTTATCAGACAAAATTTTATCAGACCATTTACCAGAGGAAGTGAAGTGTCGCAGGTTCTCGAAAGAAAGGTAAGCTGAATTCTGACTTAACCTTTCTTTCGAGAACCTGTGATAGGTCTGGGTAGGTGGGCCACCCAACAGCCATATCTGTCCCTGGTCACCATGGAATGAGAAGACAGGTTAAATAATATTGATTAAAGTACAAAAATATTTTGGTTATTGAAACTTCTTAAATTACGATCACAGGACGGATAGTTTGTGGATCAAGCATAGGTTTGTGGCCAGAGGACAGATATGGCTGTTGCCGCCGTGC